AAAAGTTCAGCAGTTGCTAGATGTAGTATCAGTAAGTTAGCTTACAGCAAAACTAGAGATGAACCCTTACAAATGAGAACATGTGATTTTAAGACAGTGTCACTTACTATGAAAACAAAAACTAGGTTAGAAATAAGTCTAAGTTGTCCCTGACTTCATTATAAAATTAAGATATGGTGGAATTATTTTTTATATAAACATGTATTAAAATAAGTAGCTATGATCTATGCCTAGATGAGGAACTCAACATCACAAATAATCCTCAACAAACTTGTACATTCATGGTAACCACAAAAACAAAATCCCAATGTGACAAGATGATCCCAACTGACATGGAACAAAGATCCTAGAGCTGTTCTACCATTTGTGACAACCAATTAGAAAGGCACGTAATTAAAAGTGGCTATTGGCCAAGTCAAAGAGGCAAAGTTAAGAGACTATAGAGCCCAGAAACATTCCCATTACATGGGAATAGGCTATTACAGTAGAAGTGGCCGTAATACATCAGGAGGGAAAAGGTGATCTGCTTTTAAAATGTTAGGAAAATTAGCTATCTACATATAATTGTATTGGTTACTTTGCTCATTGCTATGACAAAATACCCAGACAAAACCAACTTAAAGAAAGGATTTATTTAGGCTTACATTTCTAGGGGAATTCAGTTGACCACAGGGAAGGTATGACAGCAGGAACAGAAGGTCGGCTGGTACAATGCACTAGCTGTTAGGAGGCAGTAAACAGGAAGTGGGGTGGGGCTATAAACCTCAGGGCTCACCTCCAGTGGCCCACTTCCTCCAGCAACACTCTACCCCCTAGTTTCCACAACCTTCCAAAATGTCACAACCAGAGATCACCTGAGTATGGGGGTCCATTTTACATTTAAAAAACACATGGATAATGAACAGGGGAATCAATGAGAATGTATTCATGAGCTTGGGGTAAGGAAGGACTTCTTAAATAAGGGAACAAAACAAGTAAGTGGGCAAAACACAAAAAGAGGAAATTCACCATATGCAAATGTAGCAGCTTCTGAGTGATAAACATCCCAAAGTTGATACAGGAATGTTCTAATTATCCAAATTTTTGTGTGGAAGTAAAAGGCAAAGATCCTTAAGCCAAACTAAAAATCGATAAAAACACCTAGGCACAAAGCTAATATAAAATATTTAAGACCTTTAAGAAGAATGCTACCCAAGAATATAAAAGACAAATGACACCTATCATGATACAGGAAAAATTACATTAAAAATGAAGTCTATTGGGGCTGGAGAGATGGCTCAGCGGTTAAGAGCACTGACTGCTCTTGCAGAGGACCCAGGTTCAATTCCCAGCCCACACATGGTGGCTAGGAACCATCCTTAACTCCAGTTCCAGGGGAATCCGAAGCCCTCTTCTGACCTCCACTTCACTGCACAACATGGGTGCCCTCACATACATGCAGGCAATACACTCACACATAAAATAAAAATAATAAATATTTTTTTAAAAAATAAAGTCTATTAATGGATAAACTAATGCGATCCCAGCCAAAAGAGTAGCACTATTTTAGTGGACCCTAATAGGTTAATTCACAATTTTCTTGAAATAGAAAATACATAAAAATAAGATACAAAGAAACAAAAAAGGAGACAGACTTGCCCACAGCAGCAAAGCATACTGCAAACCCAATGACAGAGTGCAGAGAGCAAGAAGGAGACAGCCGCGAGACCCAGTGTCAGTCAGCACAGCAGCACAGCACACAACGAGCTGGAACTTGGGAGTTTCAAGCTGGTGGAGAATGGGCTGTTGGGTAAGAGTTGGGACAACTGCCTTTTCATTTCTGTTTAGGGGAGAAACCTTGAAGAATAACCCATATAAATAACAAGGCAAGTTTGACACAAATAGACAAAGTACAGCAAAGATCTGCAAATAACCAACAGACATGGAAATGTTTGGTGTTGTAAGTAAACTAGAAAATTCAAGTTAAAATAAGGTTATTTTCAATCGCAAGACTGACTTTAAAACAACCTACCAAGACTGATGCAACCTGCTGTCAGCAAGGACAGGGAAATGGATCCCTTAATGGATTTTTAATTCGGCAATTTAATGAAAGTAGAGCTATATTATAGGAATGAACAGATAGCTTACATAAAATGTTAAAGTTAGATGCAAGAGGTAGTATAATCTCATGTTAAGTTACTTATATCAAACAAACAAGGTGTTAAAATAGTCTCTAAAACAGTGTTGTCAATAATTTATTTCACTCTTAAATAGAAGGTCAAAGACAGCAGTTCACAATTGGCAGGCCGACTACTCAAACCTCACACAGCATCTCTGTTGAGACACCAGGAGCCCTGCTGAGGCTCTCATAGGCATTCCAGTCAGCAAAATGGGGAACTTTCAGGGGAGTTCCCACCCCAACTCTCTGTCTAAACTGAACCTGGACATTTTCCATCTCACCCCCTAAAATTTTGTCATGTGGCCACAATTAACTGTCAGAGAGGCTAAAAAGTCATTGTTAGCTGAGCAGCCATGAGTCTAGGTAAAACTCAGAGAGTAAAGGAAAGAGAGACAGACAATGAGACAACAGTGCACAAGCCAGTTGTGTAAATACCTGGGTGAAGTGTCAGAGCAGGCATAAGCATTGGGTGGAGGGGGCAGCAAAACAGTACGTAAAAGCTTTTAACAGTGATGGTTATTCACACAGAAACTAAGGAAGTAAAAGAAGTTGGTGCTTTAAAATCTTTTACTTGTAATGATATAACATGTTAAATCCACTAAATCTATTTACACCTACAAAGTGTTTAATGTCCCAAATCAGACTGCACCTAAATCCATAAAGTTGCTGTGTATTATTAAAAATGATTCCAACTTAGAGCACCAGTCTCTAAGTTTCTGGTAGGCTGGCTGACCACGTGTACAGAGCTCCACCCTGAGACTCAACCTATGCAGGTTGGGGATGTCAGTGGCAGAGCTGGGACATAGACTCCTTGTGCTTACTACATTGTAACTTTTTTTTTAATTGACTTTTTGCAATTTTCATACAACATAATTGAATGGCATTTAAGATCTCCTCTTCTATCTGCACCTCTCCTTACTGCCCCCTGCCCAATTTAATGTAGTTTACTTTTAACAGTTATTTTAAACTAAAGAGATGTTTATAACCTCTAGCTCAACTTAACTTAGATTTCAGACATTTACAGGCATGATGCTCCAACACTTCTCACAAATGAATTAGATCAGGACTTCAGTCTGAGAACTTAGGGAACATCATTTTCTTGTAGGCTAACAACTACAAAAACAAAATGGGCAAAGAGCCCCGCAGAAACAAACAAGAGTTCCGATGTCTTTCTGAGCCAAGGGCTTGAGATTTGGACTTACTGGCCTGTTTTAACCAACCTCTTCTACCACCTTCAGATAACAATGGCAATGTAAAGAAGATAACTCAGTCTTCCTCCCCTGATATACATGAATCAAACTAGTAACAGAACAAGGAAGAGAAGAATGGAGGGGATGGGGAACAGTCAGAATCCCAAAGAGGAAGGAGGAAACCTGAGTCTGTCACTGCCTATAGGCTGAGGGGTCCTTGGCCTGAGCTATCAGACAAAAATCTTAGAAAGGAGAAAGCCAGGTCTATATCCTCTAACCAAAAGCACATGTCACCCAGGAAACAGGCTTCTGGCAGACCCATGCCTGGGTCACAGGGTAGAGCAAACAGCACATCTGGACACAGCTGGGCAGGGCAAGCTGCTGCAGAAGCATGAGTAAGACACAAGCACATGGCAAGGAGGGAGGCGAGCAAACACAGCAAGGGCAGGAGAAACAGCAAGCCAGAGAAAACGCTCTCAAGGAGCAGACTACACTGTGACAGCTACAGAGACGTTTACGGAAGGCAGTGGGTCTGAGAGAACAAGACTTCTGGGACAAGGTGGTACTGCCATGAAAAAGCCACGAGAAATGGCTAAGGAAAAAAGCCAGGGACGAAGAGCACACACCCACAATCATAACACACTGACAACCAAGAGCTGAAAATCAACTAAACCACAGAGCCACAGATGGCCAAGGCAAGAGAGGAAGGCAAGGGGCACGAGATAACCCCAGAGGAGAGAAGAGTGTTTATATCTAAAATAGTCCGCACCTTCTGCTCGGCAAAGTCAACACTTGGAGAGCCCTGCAGGAAGTGGACTGATGACTGAACAGCGGTCACTCCTGGTAAAGGGGGAGCCACTGACTGCTGTCTATAGCAATGGTTTATGTACTTATTTTGGATCTGTTTTGACTTTTGTTTTATGATAACTCATTTGGTTTTTCTAAAACCAGAAGTTAGTATGTGTGATTGGGACATGCCTTTTGCTTAAAGTACAGTCACAGTAAACGGGATACCCAAAGAAAACCATTTCATGCCTTATTAATAAAACACCTGCTGGCTGCCAGTTGGTGTGGAGCTTAGTGATCGAACACAGAATACATGCTTAACTGTGCAAGGCACTGGGTTCCACCTCCAGCACCATTTGAACAAAACAAAACCAAATAAACCTGCTAATTAATAGTACTTTAAAGGATTATTGAAAGACAGTATAATTTGACAGGCAACAAATCTTTATCTTTTTTGTATAAGGCTAGTAAAACATTTAGAACTTCTGCATCAAAGTACAGCTGTTACCAGATATTGATGAACTAATTTATGGAACAAGCCAGATTAAATATAAGACATGTTTCCAGCACCAGTAAAATTACTCTAGCCCCTGAAAACCTTAAGGACATGGGACAGCATCTGTGACCCGGCAGGGTTCTCATCCTAGCACCATGCCATCTCAGATCTCTGATAAGTCATGTGACTTCTGCATCCAATTTGGAGTAGACACATCAGCAGTCATGTGCTCCTTGACAGTATCTTTTTTTTTTTTTTTTTTTTAAAAAAGGTATTTCTTTATATTTTGTATGTGTATTGAGTGTAACACCAGCATGTGTGTTAGTGCGCCCGTATCATGCAATGTCTGCAGAAGACAGAAGAGGGCATCAGATCCTCTGGAACTGGAGTTACAAACCATTATTAGCCGCCATGTGGATGCTGGGATTCGAACCTGAGACCTCTGCAAGAACAGCCAGTGCTCTTAACTACTGAGTCATCTCTACAGGCCCTCTTGACAGCATCTTTTAGGTAAAGGAACAAATACGCTCCAAGAAGTAAATGTTAGGTCCCTGGTTTTATAACATAATTTACAATGTCAGTAAAAAGTTCTAAAAATCCAAGTATTTTCTTCTTAAAGTTTTAGTCTTGAGGTAGATGTCATTTATAGTAAACATCAAATGCAACCAACTTCCTTCCACAAACATGATCAGAGGATTAATGACCAGAAATTCCCCTTGGAGAGTCTAGGGAGTGTCAGTGTTCAGCAGTATTCTGGCTTCAGTTTCCAAATCCCTTCACCACCAGGAGTTCTATGAAAAGTGCAGAGATTTCTCAGCAGTTCTCGGAAGACACAGGACTGTGAGGCAGACAGCTTGGATTCAAACTCCTGCAGTATCTCCCGAGTGCTAGCCTGGCCATCCACCTGGGCCTGGAAAGCAATGAAATTCCTCATTTCTACCAGAAGATCATCATGGTCTGTGGTGGAGGGAGACAAGGAAGCCGCCTCTGGAAGGTGCCCACTGTCGCTCTCCAAGCGCTCTGGCAAAATCAGGTGGTTTCTTGCTCGCATTCTAGCTAAGAGTGAGGAAGAACTGGGCGCTCTGGATAAAGACGCTGTGTCTTCTTTGCCACTCAAGTTGGCAGGGGCAGGATCTTTTCCCTCCTTTTTCACAGTGTCCTAGAGAAAGAAGATCACTGCTTTGACAGACTGAACTGTCTGTGAGGGCCCACAAAATAACCCAAATGCCAGGGGTGAGGTATGTGAGAAAGACTGAGACCCCATCTAATGCCCAGGGCAAAAGAGGCTAGGGGGACAACTTAGTCTAGCCATTTGTAAAAAAACATCTCCTAAAGAAACAGGCAGGAAAGAAGAGAAATAAACCATCTTCTGGACACCAATGAGCATGAGAGCAGAGGGCGCTGAGGGAGCGGCCCTGCAGCCACAGGCCTGGGCAGTGTCTTCCCTAGACCAGGGCAGCTTTCAGGGGCCATAAGCATGTGCTGCTTTTTCTCCCAAATGCACCTGACTCGCACTGTGGGATCAGGAACAGTAACAACACTATACTCCCCTTTCTTCACTTCTAAACTTTCTTACTCTTTCCATCCTTTCACTTCATGTTTCTTTAAACCAGTAACAGAGAGCTAACCTGGAATGTGCCCTAAACTCCTGTTGCTAAGAGCATGGGACACAGGACAACAGAAAGGGTCTCCATTCTTAAATGTGCTCCTGTAGGTCTAAAATGGAGTCTTGCTCTGTGAGTTTTCAGTGTAAGCATTAACACACCCTTAATCAAAAAGACTGAGTGGTGAGGGTGGCGTTCGCCCAGTTTTACCATTACTGAGGCCCTGGGGAAGATGGGCTCTCTGGGCACTGAGTCTACGCAGAGTGGTGATCTCCTCCAGTTCAAGCATGTTGTGTTATATTAACTTTCTAAGCACAAAACAGAGACACTGCTTCAGATATTGTGCTTTAGGAAGTTAGGTGCCCTTTTAGATTCAAATGAAAGCACAGCCTAACTCAGAGCCTACAACAGAAGTCTCCAGTGTCACTACACCATTAGAGCCATTTTCACCACATATGCAATGCAGGGACATTTTCCTGTCCACTCAGCAGGTCTCACACCTGAGAAGCAGCCAGGCTATCCTGTTACCTGACATTTTTCTGTTAGAGATGTTGAAGAAGGACGTTGCATAGGGAAGCTGGAGTTCCTTTTCTGACCAAATCTATTCCTAAATAAGGAAAAGAATCAAAGTAGATAAAATGTTAGGTGCTGTGACATAGAGACCAAAGTACTATTTCAACAACTAAATTCATCCTGGGAAACTACTGTCTTTTGAGCCCCACACTTCTGCTCTATCCTCTCCACTCTGCTGTTCTGGGTGAGTGAGACCCACTCAGAACCCTCACTCAGTACTATACATGGCAAAGTACTCTCAAAGGGCATCCTGAACAGCACAACAACTATGATTGCTACGAACTAGCTGTCTTATTAATGGTTAGTCATTATTTGTATTTCATACTATTTTTAAAATCATCTCTCAAATAAACCAATCACTTCTTCCCCTAAATTTGTCTCTGAAAGGCAGGAAATAAAAGGGAAGAAGGACAATAGTATTTCCCCAAGTCACTCAAATCTGACCAACACATGCCTCTCTGAGGGACTAGAACTGGAGAGAGGCAAGTTCTGTCCTGACTGTCGCCAGCCTCAACAATTGGGGCTCCCTGAGAACCTGGCAGGGAGCGATCTCTTACCTTATTCTAGCTGGGGCACCAGAAACACCCCTGTGGCCTGTCCAGGTGGGAATGCCAGATGCTGCCCCCAGGCACTGCTGACGAGAGAGTCTCAGGGCTTTCAAGGCATCCTGAGCCACTCGGCTGGCCTCTGCCTCCACCAGCACATAATCAGGGCTGGTCCCATCCATGATGGCATCATGCTTCACAACGCTGTGCACACCCACTAACCAGAACAAGGAGAGACCAAGAGCAACAGTTCGGCTTTTACACTGGAATACTAATGTCACCAGAGAAGAGATCCAGAACATTTTTAACTGTTGTTTTCTGAGCAGCAGTTATGACTCAGAACTTCACAAATGCTTTCTGTTCACTTTTACCACTACCTTGTAAGGGATGGTTATTATTTATCCCTGTTTTTAAAATAATTGGGTCAAATGCTTCACCTATACTTTAATACTTAATTTCTTCCTAACCAGAAGAAAAATTTAAAAATCTATTAATAAAAGCTACAGTGGAGGGAAAAATATAAAACAGAAATACAGAATTCCCCCAAAATGGTCATGGGAATGCTACATGTCAGAATCAATGAAATACATTTAATATGGTAATCAGTGCAAAGTTCAAACCCTGAATACTCATATCAGTAAAATGAAGCAGCATGGGGTGCATGCCTGTAATCCCAGCACGGGGGAGGGCTAGGTAGGAGGATCAGAAGGTCAAGGCTGGCCTGGGATACCTGGGATACCTACTGAGAGGTTCTCTCCAAAAAAAGGAAAAGTGAGAGAAAAAAATGAATTCAAGTTCTAACTTTTAAGTAAATAGAAATAATTATGGGGGAAAAAAAACCCTCTCACCAAAAGCAAAAGTACCAGGAACAAAATAATAAAAAGTTAAAAAATGTAAGGTAGAGAATAGACCAACTATGGATGCAGTTTATAATAGGTAATAATCCTAGCTTACTGAACAAAAAAAAGTCACAGAATGGACAACTCACTAGTTTGACTTAATTAATGTAAAGAAAAGGAAAAATTATGGAATAATAAATATCAGAAGGGAAATGATTTGGTGGAAAAAGACAAATTTTGAAAATTATAGGAATATTTTGTATACCTGTATGCAAATTTGAAATCATACACAATGGATCATTTTCTAGAAAAACAGGAAGTACTATATAGAGGAAAAATAAAGTTACTGGTGATAAAACTACAGACGAGAATCATTTATAAACATGAAGAGACTAAGTACAGCATCAGTATATAGTAACCAACAACAAAGTAAGAAATGAATACTTATGACCCATTAAGACTCAGTCTAGGAATTCAAGGTCGGTACACAATTATGAAATCCATTATCTGGTAAGTTTCATGATATTGTTTCCAATACTATCTATCGATATTTCTACAGTGAAAATGCTTTTGATAGAATTCACCATCCTATAAAACCATTCAACTGAAAATACTCTTACTAAAACACATGCCATATGCAACTCCAAAATCTTACTTAATGACAATACAGGCCATTTTCATTAAGGGAAAAATAAGATGCCCATCGCCTCTAATACTACTTATATCTAGCATTATTAGCTTATAATAATAATAATAATAATAATAATAATAATAATAATAGAAAATCAAATAGAGACAAGTGACTAAAATAAAAAGTACAATTTTTGTTTTTTAGTCAGTCCTTCCTCCCTCTCTCCCTTTCTTCTTTCTTAGCTTTCTTTTCTTTCTGTGTTAGAGGTGGAATCCAGGGCTTCATGCACGGCTAGGGAAGTGCTCTACTACTGATCTACACAAACCCCAGTCTTTCTTTTTTTGAAGCTTTTTTGTTTGTTTGTTTTTTTGAGACAGGGTCTCCCTTCAGCCACAGCTGGCCTGGAACTCACTATGTAGACCAAGCTGGCCTTGAACTCACAGAGATCTGCCTGCCTCTGCCTCCCAAGTGCTGGGATTAAAGGCATGCACCACCATGCCCAGCTGTCTTCAAGTTTTTAATAAATATAAACCCTGAAGGCCCCAGAGAATCAATAATAAAATTGAATAAAATCATTCAGGAGAGAATGAAACAGGAAATCTCCAACCTTCCTATGAACAATCAAGTCAGTTAAAGAATACAACGTTGAAAAACTCCATAAACAATAACGCTGAACATAAAATGAAAATAAACCCAAGACATGTAAAACACACATGGAGAAAACTCTGAAGCACTCCTAGGAAGGCATTCTGTCGAGCCTGAACCAATGGAAGCATAGCCCCCTCCTCTCCCCTAACTACAACCACTCAATCTTCACTCTCCACGAACTATTCATACACTCATTGTGGTATCTCAACAGAAACATCAAGAAACTTTCAAATGAAGCTGGACAATGATACTGAGGTTCACATGGAAAGAAAAACCTGCACGAACAGCTGAAAGAACACTGAATGGCAGAGGTGAGCCTAGCAGACAGCAGAGCACTCCAACTCCAAGTCTGGTGCTGAAACAAGGGCAGCTCCTGATCACACAGAAGCTCAACGTGGCTATCGGGACACATCAAGTTTTCGAAAAGGAACAGGAGAACACACGGTGGACAGCTGCGTGCATGTCAGAGAGTAAGAGAAAATGAAATTAAGTGTGTGTCTACTTTGGCAGAAGAAACCAGGAAGGAAATGCCATAAATTCATGAGATCAAAAATTGAAGGCATGGGGAGGTGACGTTTGTAAGAAGTGTTATGCTACATCAAAAAGTAAAACAATAAAGTCAAGAAGCATGGGGAAAACCCTGAAATGGATACAAATAAATTAATCTAACTATACTTTAAACTGGTAACACAACCATGATGGGATAACAGGATTGTCTCACCAATTTAACAGTGGAGAGAAAAAAGAAACCCAAGAAACTTTTGGACACAATGTTTTAACTAAAAATGTCAGGTTAAAGACAAAAAGGCATATAAATGAATATTAAACTTGTTAGTATGGTTTTTGTACAGGTTATAAATTCTAAGACCACTACACTTTCTGTAATTGTAAAAATAGGTCAGTATGTTCAGAATGGTGGTCAAGGACTTCTCGTTCTTGAAGAGAATCAAACATAAGGGAAGTGTTCTAAGATGAACTGAAACTGGACAGCACAGTATCAATCCAGTGCATGGATTTATTGGAGGACAATGGACACATCACAAAGTACACCTACTCTAAATGTACAATTTGACAAGTTTTGACATGTATATACCATGAAACTTACCACAGGCAAGACAATGACATCATGACTTGTAAAATGCTCTTCATGTGCCCTGGGACCGCCTACATCCTGTCCTCACTGAAGAGATGACCATGTGCTTTCTGTCCTTTATTCTACTGACATGATGTTTTAGCTTCATTTTCAAAACCTTTTTTCATGGTTTACACAACTTTCTTTGTTTCTCTAGCCTCTTTTTTCCCTTAGGGCGCATCACACTTAAGATTTTTCTCTTTACCATATGCTTTGATCAATTTGTTATTGTATGCCTTGGCATACTTTTGTTTCTAAGCCTAGAGTTTATTAGTCTCTTGAATGTGTAGGTTTATGGCTTTCATGTAATTTAGAACATTTTTTACCAATATTTCTTCAAATTCAAATACTCCCCGCCTTTCTCTTCTTGGTCAGCACCCCAATTATGAGAGGTGCTGGACTTCTACAGCTGGATGCTCTTTTCTGAGTTTGTTGTGCTCCGTTTTGCTTCTACTGCTGTGCATTAAGTTCATTTTTCTTTTCTTCTGCTATGCCTGATATGACTTCCTCTCCTACAGTGTATTTTCAGACATTTGTCATCTATGTTCAATATTTTTATGTGGGTGTGCAACTTTCATGCTTCTTTTTTAATATAAGGAACAGATCTAATAATTTTAATGTCTGCTAATTCTAATAGCTATGTCATTTCCAATTGATTTTCTCATTCTGAATATTTTCCTGCCCGCTTATTTCTATGGCCCGTAGTTTTTTTATTTGGTGGAAAGTGCCATAAAATTTTTTCTTAAGTGCTTGCTTGTTAATTATGCATTCCTACAAAAGCTCAGGTGAGGTTGACACAGTGCTAACTCTGAGGCAACAGTATGCCCTCTGCAATATGCCAAATGCCCTGTGAAACCTTACTCCAAGCTGGCTGGGAGGTACAGGCACTCCTGGCTGTGGGTAAGCACAGAAATGTTTCCTCTAATCCTTTTGGGTGGTCTTTTCTACAGCCTCAGATAGGTTCCATGTACCAATGCACTGATCAACATCCAGCTGAGTTCTACAGGAGACCCTCTACAGACCGGCGGAGTTCTTCCTCTGTGCTGCTCTCCCCTCTACCTTACTCCTTTACATGAACTCCAGCACCTTGGTCTCCCTGGATGCTTAACAGAGTCTGCCTACAGCCCCATCTGTGTTCTCTTCCCATGTCACAGTCTGAAAACTCTCACGGCAATAAGTGGAGAGTTCAGTTCATTTGTTTCCCATCTCTAATAGATCAATAAATAACAACCCTCTGCTGGCCTTTTGGTCCCACCACTTCATATACCGTGTCAATGTTTTGTTGCTCCAAGGTGGAGAGTAAATGTTATTTCATCCTTGCTAGAAGCTAAGCTCTTGTTTCTCATCGACAGATGTAGAAACAGAGATGAACAAGTATATGCATGTTTACTTGTACACATACAAATATTTATGTATGTTTGTAGACATGCTTATATATGCATATGAATGATAAAGCAAATGCTTAAAAATGCTAGTGTTGGCATAAAGGCTATAGTAGAGATCTGTATGCCTTCAAGCTAATTTCTCTAAGTCGGAAAGGTCTGAAGTGATACACAAAACAGGTATCTTTGGTAGCTGTGGCCATCACACTGTGAACATAACTGCCAGTGGCTGAAGAAGATGATCCCCTGGGGATGACTGAGCTGAGCAGAGCATGCTGCCTTCCATGGTCTTCAGCAGTTGTTATGCTGACTTCACCAATGCATTCCCTTTGATCTTAAGCATCAGCTTTTCTACAACTACAATGCCTGCCCTAGCCATAATCCTGCCTCTCTCCCCATGATCTGTCACTCTATCTCCTGTAGTTGGAAAATCATAAAATACAGCTTGTAAGAAAATTGCCTATTATCGTTCATGCAGCACATATCCATTTATAATACTGTATGTACTGTAAGCGGTTACATGTTTAGTACTACTGTTTCCCAAAGTTTCAAATACTTCCAGATCTTCAGAAAGGGGTAAATTTAATTTTCAAAATGTCAACACCATCAGTAAAGACTACCACATTGGAAGTGGCTGACTCATTTTCTGTTCCTAGTACAGCGGGGAAAGTTTCATCAGAAAGCATTACCTGATTTTTTGAAAAGCTTTTCCAAAACATAGTCATCACTGCTCCGTTCCTTGGCCTCACTTTCTTGCTCAGTATTTTGCTTGTGGTATCCCCTTTTCTTCACTAGGTGTGGGATTCGAGTTCCCTCAAACTTGGCATCTCTGTTCTTAGGGTTTTGCTTTGGCAGTGGATGTTTCTCTGGGATCTCTTCCTCTGCAACACCATGCTTTCTTTTTGTCTTATGCTTACAAGAATGACTTTCCACTTGTCTGCTCACCCACAAAGGTTTCGCCTGAACCTGGCAGCAGTCTCCTTTTGCCGAGGGGCCTTGCTTCTCACTGGTGCTTGCTTCACCAGACGGCCTAGATGCTTTGTCAACTCTTGGAGAATTTGAGCACTTCTCATCTCCATTCACTGCTGGCAGCTCCTCCGGCTCAGATACTGCGCTTGTGTCTTCTCTAAGCCCGACACCACAGGTTATGTTCCTACTTGTGTGACAGTCACCTTTCGTAAGACTACTTTCTTTATAAGTTTCATTTCCTGCAATCCCCGTTGCTTTAGATTTTTCCTCAGTTGGAATGCTGTCATTTACAGATGTATTAGGATGGGAGAACTTCTTGCCTTTTGGGTCTGTTTCTAGAGCTGGTAAAGTTTTTCTTTTCAACTGGCGTTTAGGTGTCTGAACATCTGAACCAGTTCCTGTAATGGGGAAGCATTTAATGTTATACTGCAGACTACTTCCGCACCTGATTAAATTAAATAACTTTATGTAATACCTGCAAAAATAGCACTTGTTTCTGTGCTCTGGGATGTATCAGGACTAGTCAGAGTAAACAGCTCATAAAGATCATTGGATTTGAAAAACCGCCTTTGTTTTGGATCTTTTAGCACTCTGTTTGTCAAAAACTGCTTGAAGATTTGTCTTAAAAGATAAAAATTACACTGGTATGAAACAATGTTTAGGTATCAAAGCTCCAGTTATAAAACATGTAAGAGATGATAACAGCAGATCTATGAATGATTAAAAAGCCCCCAAACTTTCAGTCTTGGATAAATTACAATTCAGAACATACATAACACATCAGATGATCTCCAAAATTTTACAGAAACTAAATTAGAAAAATTAGAAAATAAATTACATTAGAAATTCCTCATTATTTATACTCAATGAGTTTTTTCAGCCTCCAAAACCTATCACATTTCAAAACCCACCTTTTCACATTTATGTGACTCCCAGACTCTCCAAGCTGTAAGGAGCAGTCAGCTTCCCTGATTTGTGCACCAAGACCGGCCCTGGCCTGTCCAGTACCCTCCTGATGGGGTCAGGGTTTTGCACAGCCCTCACTTTGACCTATTCCCCAACTCCTATCTGCTGGAGCCTGTGTTTAAGATCACATACCAGTCCCTCTCCTACAGAGATCACTAAAAAACACCACTATCCCCTTGGCCACTTGCTCTTCAGGATACAGCTCTCTTCTGACAGGACTCACCTCATCTCCAGCACCCACAGGCCCTTAAGGACAATGAATGTTCCAAGGATAGACTAGTACAGGTGCGGGAGCTGGGGTATGGACAAGAATGAAGTCTGAGGGGCATAGGGAGAAGCTGGCCATGTCTGGACTCTTTCTCAAGTCCCCTAATGAGAACACAGGAAGTCAGAGAAAGGAACACATATGCTGCCAACTTCTCCAAGGGTCACCTGAGCCAAAGGTCGCAATGACCATAAAAGTCTCATTAAGGAAAAACTTCTAGTCAAGAAAATAGAATCTCTAGCTTAGGTAGAGATCTAACATAGTAGGGCAGGGTCAATACCTGGCAAAGGGCAACCCTAGGAAGGTGGAGTCTTCTGAAGCTATCTTACAGAAGATAGGCAGAAAGATTTTCCCTTTAGTGAGATACAGTACTTTTCCTTCCCGAATTCCTAAGTCCCTACAAGCCATCATGAGGTCTGCCTGGGTTTGGCCCCCTGAGACCTGGGTCAGGAAGGCACAACTTTCCCTTTTTTTTTCTCCTCTTTCTTCCTTTTGGATGATGGCCAGAAACTAAGTTCGCTTTTTCTGATACTTTGGGCTTCTTATTCTCTCTAAAGCCTCCCACCTCATTGTGTGGCTGCTAGTCCATCATGTGTCTGACTTACTTGCCAGCATGACTTTTTTCCTTTCTCTCCTCCAGGCGGCTGCTGGGATTTACAGCATGCTTGCCCTGGGAGTTTTTCTTTTAAACTCTAATAAAACTGTCCTTTGAGCTTCTGTTTGAGTCCAATCTTAAATTCTTTTATTAATGAGACTACAAACCCTGAGCGAACTGAGATTTCCCTATCAATCATACCTGCATAGTGTAGGGAAATGCCAATGTGTTAACTTTAAATCGTTACTTTACAATTTTTCTAAAAGCAAGTGGCACACTACAGTATATATGTAAGAACATTTCCCTCAGATAACAATATCAAACTTACATATCCTTGAATTTGAATAAGGAACAATAATAATCAGGTTCAAAGACATTTTGAACACCAATAAGGCATCAAAGTATATGGCAAAGAAAAAAAAAGATCAAACAGCCATATCCCTTAAGTTACAACAATTATTCTTTTTAAATGGCAAGGTATTTTAAACCAACACTTGGAGAAAAAAACAAAAAAACCTCTTTGCTGACAACTCTGGATGTAGGCACGGAGGCTCAGCAGCCACTGTACTGACCGGTGGTAGATCTTTTCCTCAATAGTACCGGCCATCAGAAGCCTGTACACAGTCACCTGCTTCTTCTGACCTATCCTCCACGCTCGCTCCCGCGCCTGTGACAGACAGAGATACTTTAACAAGGGCTCTTCCCACTGCAAGGGCTGACTAAGAGAAGCAGAGGTACCTGATCACCAACTTTCATTCCCTACTCAGAATTCTGACTAATGAAGAAATATACACCAAAGGCCTATAAAGGCAGATGAACAGCCAGGTAAAAAAGGAGAACCAAGACATCTCGATCCAAAAAAAGGTTCCTTCATATGTGCTCTTTTTATCCCACAGCTTGCAATAGATGTTGTACATAAACAGCTGAAGACACTCCCAGTCTATGTGGCTCTGACAATTTTGGTTTTTTTTTTTTTTTTTTTTTGGTCTTTTTGAGAGAGAGACAGTCTCTCTCTGTAGCCTCAGCTGTCCTGGAACTCACTATGTAGACCAGGCTGGCCTTGAACTCACAGAGATCCACCTGCCTCTACCTCCCAAGTGCTGGGCTTAAAGATGTGCACCACCACGCCCAGCACAATGTGTTCTTTTATGTGAAAGAACAGGACCTGACTAAAATGCAGACTGTTCTCAGAAGCCAAGTAGAAGAAACCCAAACTGTCATTCTAGATATCTTGTTTTCATGGAAAAGACAGACCTGTGTGTCGGTGCTTGGATTCCAGTCAGGGTCGTAGATTATGACTCTGTTGGCGCCGGTCAGGTTGACTCCTATGCCGCCCACCCGCGTGGTCAGAAGAAAGACGAAGATGGATGTGTCCTAGAGGAAAGAGCCATAACAGTAGGCACACCTGAGAGCTGCTACAGCCCCACAATCTACACACGAGTTCATTCCAGTCACCAGCATACCCAACGTTTGTGTCCGAGTCAAGTTCTCATATCAGAGCACTTACTTTTAAAATTAAGTATATTAGCAATGTTTAGAAGTTGGGTTCTCAAGAAGGGAAACACATCAAGCATTCTCTCTCTCTCTCTCTCTCTCTCTCTCTCTCTCTCTCTCTCTCTCTCTCGTTGTTCTTCACTAGCTTCTTGGCTTCTTCTCACTCAGCACTGACCTTTGAAATCCTACATGCCCAGTCCCGACATTCCTGAAGGGTACAGTTAAAAGCAAAATGTCGCTGGGCATGGGCACACATCTTTAAACCCAGCACTCATGAGGCAGAGGCTCTGTGTTGAGGGAAGCTTGGTCTGCAAAGCAAGTTCCAGGACAGCCAGAGCTACACAGCAAGACCCTGTCTCAAAAGATTAAAAAATAAAGTCCCCAAGCCACAAGGGTTGTAGCCCCCTTTTCAGGTGGCTGTGGACGTGGGCATGCTCTGTTTTCTCCCCAGAGAGCAGCTCCTCTGCCTTCTCAGTCACATCCCTGGTTTACCTCGTTGTATCTTGTAATCAGTGGTTGTCGTGACGCGATGGTAGTGGTCCCATCCATCTTGAGATAGGAATACTTGTGGGCTCTCAGGAACACTTCCAATATGTGCAGCATCTGTTGGGGGATAAGGGGAAACAGTGTGAAAACTGAATCTATTCCCAGAGAGAGTTTCTCCACTTGTTAACATACTCCCATAATCCCATACGACTATGTTAAAGGGATTTCTTGCTTGGACGAAGAGAAATAAAATTGCTGCAAAAGAATTTTTGCTAATTCCTTATGTTGTAAGTAGCCCAAACGCACTTGGATACCAGGAGAACATTGTGAACTTAAAAAAATAAGGCAACTTCTGGGGCTGGAGAGAGAGAGCTCAGTGGTTAAAACACTGGCTGGTCTTGCAGAAGACCCAGGTTCAAATCCCAGCATCCACATGGCATCTAACAACTGTCCATAACTCCAGTTCCAGGGGATCACACAGCCTCTTCTGTCCTCTGCGGGCATTGCATGACATGGGTGCACTTACCTACATGCAGGTAATATATGGATATACATAAAATAAAAATAATAAAATATTTTTTAAAAAGTGGCAACAACTTCTGTGCACCATCTCTAGAGAAAAAGCCAAACTCCTAAAAAGACCTGCAAAAAGATCCGAAGAGAGCCTTAAAACAATGGCAGATCTCGCTTTAGATAATGTCCTACCTTTTGTACTGGTGATCCGAAGTCCTAAGAACAAACTTGTTTATTACATGCCACTTGAGTCCTCACCTGCCTTGACTGGGAAAACAGCAGTACTCGCTGACCCTGCTTGTGCCATATCTTCAGCAAAGACTCAACAACAATCATTTTCCCAGAACGCTTCCAGTATCCAAACTGATCTTCTTCCAGTTCATCTTCTGGAGGACCACTGAGATTCTTGGGACCACCGGAAAAGAGATCAGGGTGGTTGCAGATTTTTCTTAGGGCTACAAGTCCAGAGAAAATCTGTGGTATAAAAGAACATATGAGCTCAGATGGCCCCATGTAAAGTAAAAGGAATGGAGGAAAGGAGGGAGGACTGATGTAGTGTGCAGTGTGGATTACAACACTGTTCTTCACCAGCTCCTGAGTTTCTTCTCTAATGTCAGCATTATGAGAAACAGCTGTAAGTCTGGATCTTTACTGTCCCCCAGAGGGTCATGCATTGAAGGCATGGTCCCCAGAGGGACAGTGCCTAAAGGCAGGGCTTTTGGGAAATGACTAGACCATGAGGGCTCTGACCATCAGTGGGCTAACCCACTGACGGCTTTATAATTTGATGGAAGTGGTAGAAATTTAAGAGGTGGGAAGGAAGTGGATCTTTGGGGGCTATTTCTTGTCCCTACTTCCCAGTCACAGGACGTGAGCAGTTTTAATCTTCCAGGTATTAATGGCCAAGATGTTCTACCTCACCATAGGCCCAAAAACAACGGACCCACGTGAGCACAGGCTGAAACCTCTGAAATCATGAGCCAAATAAACCTCTTCCCCTTTAAGTTGATTTTCTCATACTGACAGAAAAATGACTAACACAAGCTGAAGAAATTAACTTTCACTCATGTTCTTGCCCTGATAAGAAAATTTCTCTGGAAACAACAATTTTACTGGGATGAACATGTCCACAGAAGTCATAGTCAATTACTAATAACTCAATTTCCTTTACTAGAAAAAAGTAGTTAGTCCACAGTACTATGAACTTGATATAAAAAAAAAACAACTGCACTTCACAAATACAGGTCAGAAATGTCACACCAATCTGTAACTTACCAAATGTCTCCAAATCTTACATATCTAAGTACCCTACTAAAAGCCTTATCATTTAGTATATGAGCCAAAGGCTGAAATTCCATTCACCTTTATGTTATTTTTATTTAAAAAATTTTTTGTTTTTATTTTATGTATGAGTATTTTGTCTGCATGTATGGAAGTTCACCATATGTGTACAATGCCCACAAAGACCGGAAGAGGGTGTCTGATTCCCCTAGAACTGGAGATACTAGTGGTTGTTAGCCATCATGGGGGTGCTCGGAACTGAACTCAAGGACCCTGGAAGAGCAGCCAGTGCTCTTAATCACTGAGCCATCTCTCCAGTCACCATTTCTACACTATTACTACACCAGAAAGCAAATACACATGACAAATGCATGAAGGGGAGAGATGTGAAGGGTTGATCCATGTAACAGAAAAGCACTGAAGATGGGCTAAAGCACCCTAATTCCCAGGCCCCAGAGTACTTACAAAGCTGTAAGCATCATTCAGGTTCTCTAAAGCTTTCAAACTGTGACTCAAATCAAACTCACTGGTGTGAAAGTTCAAGTAGAAAAACAGGAACTGAGTCAAAGGGTATGGTAAATTTAATTAAACATCAGTTATATTAACAATAAAAGATCTAAGCAAATGAGGAACATTGCCAAAACGCTCCCAAGAGTCATCTTTAATTCGTTTTTCTTCCTCTTGTCTTGCACTTGCCATACAGTAGCCACCTGCCTCATGGAGCTACTGAGCACAGCATGGGGAGTCCAAATTAAGATGTGTTACAAAAATAAAATATACACCCAAGTTTAAGACACAGTACCAAAAAAAGGGTACTAGCTGTCATTTTGAAGTCTCCATTATACATTAAAATATTCTGAACACATTAGGTGAAATAAAACATATGATCAAAATTCATTTCATCTGGTTTTTCTTTTTGCCTTTTAACATGACTACTAGAAAATTTAGGCCTCCAAGGGTGGCTGCATTCTCTAGAGTGGCCTAGACCCGCCCCCTACCCCAACTTGGAGGCACATGAGGAAGCAGTGATCTGACCACTGAGGAAATGTGAATGGTTTTGAAGCATTGACAACTGACAGACTAAGGAACTGCTGGGAGGAGATTAATAGGAAAAATGACTAAATCTGGAAGTTCCAGCACTGGGGTGTAAGAATAACAACAGGTGGCCACTCGGTGTGTGTTCACCTCTATCCAGCTCAGAGCCTAGGAGCGTGCCAGGGTGGACTTCTGAACACACTGCTATATCTTCAATGGGCAGAATGAGGGTCATCATTGCAAAGCTCAGCATGGATGAAAGGACATTCAAGCATGCCCTTGCTATGTGGAAGGCACAACATCCAACATACTGGACTGTTGAGGCTTGTTCTGAAAGCACCACACAGCTCTGTATGGTTAATAGCAAGAAGAACATTTCTCCTGGCCCTAGGAAAGTTACATGCCAGGCCAGCAAAACAATCTACAGGGTAGGATATTACACACAAAGGAAAAATAAGTGTATCTGAAGCTTTAGACTAAAAGTCTATTACAATCCTACTACATATCCTTATTTAACAGACACATACCCATGCTGAGTGCTGACACAATGCCACTAGAGAAAAGTATATCTTTACCTCTGTGTGCCCACTTACCAACCTGGCTCCCCTACATTCTGCTGGGATGCCTAGTCCTGCCCACTTACCAACCTGGCTCCCCTACATTCTGCTGGGATGCCTAGTCCTGCAGGCCACATCACCACAGGTTCCACTGTACGGTGCCGTTCTCCCACTCGGTCACAGTGCTGGATTCAAGTGCACCAGGCCTGTAGTGAAGACGAAAGGCATGTGCTCTAATTTATGAATGTTTTCTTATTTCTAGAAGGGCTTCAAATTCAGTTAAAGTTCTCACCAAAATGCTTTCAAGGGGGGTCTTAGAAAACACCTGATCCAGTTGGCAGTCTATAGCAACTATGTAAATTTCAGGTGCCTGGTTTTCGACACATGTCGTGATGTTCTTACCCCTGAGCAGTCTCAGCATGACATTCTCATGTCAAATGCTTGGGGTCACTCCACAGTGGGAAGGTGTTCCAGAAAGCCAAACTCTCACATGTGCAGAGTTTATGTAGTGGGATTTTTTGAGAAGACACTGTCTAGTAATTTTGAAATTCTTGGTAACGTTAGAAAACGTTTTCATAGTACAGGAAGGAAAAGGGTGAGTAAACAGATTCCTTTCATACAGTGGGGACAATAAGAGTTAGAGCCTTTAAACTCTGATACAGAGTTTTATCTGGTTTCTAAGATGCCAGTGGTTCCTAAGAGTATATTAGGATATGAGACTCATCTAGGAGCTGACAGAATTTATGACTTTCATAACCATATCCTGATAATACATAATTTTGGTCAAATTTCTAAGAAAACCCAGCGATGTACCTGACACTCACCTTCGGATGCCTAGTCCCGCCCACTTACCAACCTGGCTCCCCTACATTCTGCTGGGATGCCTAGTCCCGCCCACTTACCAACCTGGCTCCCCTACATTCTGCTGGGATGCCTAGTCCCGCCCACTTACCAACCTGGCTCCCCTACATTCTGCTGGGATGCCTAGTCCTGCCCACTTACCAACCTGGCTCCCCTACATTCTGCTGGGATGCCTAGTCCCGCAGGCCACATCACCACAGGTTCCACTGTACGGTGCCGTTCTCCCACTAGGCCACAGTGCTGGATTCAAGTGCACCAGGCCTGTAGTGAAGACGAAAGGCATGTGCTCTAATTTATGAATGTTTTCTTATTTCTAGAAGGGCTTCAAATTCAGTTAAAGTTCTCACCAAAATGCTTTCAAGGGGGGTCTTAGAAAACACCTGATCCAGTTGGCAGTCTATAGCAACTATGTAAATTTCAGGTGCCTGGTTTTCGACACATGTCGTGATGTTCTTACCCCTGAGCAGTCTCAGCATGACATTCTCATGTCAAATGCTTGGGGTCACTCCACAGTGGGAAGGTGTTCCAGAAAGCCAAACTCTCACATGTGCAGAGTTTATGTAGTGGGATTTTTTGAGAAGACACTGTCTAGTAATTTTGAAATTCTTGGTAACGTTAGAAAACGTTTTCATAGTACAGGAAGGAAAAGGGTGAGTAAACAGATTCCTTTCATACAGTGGGGACAATAAGAGTTAGAGCCTTTAAACTCTGATACAGAGTTTTATCTGGTTTCTAAGATGCCAGTGGTTCCTAAGAGTATATTAGGATATGAGACTCATCTAGGAGCTGACAGAATTTATGACTTTCATAACCATATCCTGATAATACATAATTTTGGTCAAATTTCTAAGAAAACCCAGCGATGTACCTGACACTCACCTTCCTGCTGGGTAAGTGCCTTAGGAGTCAGGCCTTATGGTCATACCCCCACCTGGACCCGTTTCCTAGCTCAGGGGTTCAACCTCGCTTCAGTGACCTTGCTCCTCAGCACCTCCGGCTCCTCAGCACCTCCGGCTCCTGGGCACCTCTACTCCATAGCCACTCCAGAGGTGGCATGTGACTGAACAAAGGTGACATATAAGAAGCCTTGCACATTCCAGACTCCATTTTCCTTCTCTCCCTCACCTCCCTTAGTATACAGTTTATTTCCCTAGCTTCTGCTCCAGCTGACCTGATTATCTCCATTGAGAATTCCGTAAACTTCTTTGGAATCAATGAAATTCTGGTAGACTTTGTGCTGCTCATCAGTAAGACGGCAAAATAATACCTGCGAGGAAAAAGAAACCGTAGGTTAAAAAAGAGATTAATTAGGGCTGGAGAGATGGCTCAGTGGTTAAGAACACTGGCTGTTCTTGCAGAGGACCCAGGCTCCCAGCACCCAATGTTAGCTAACAACCATCTTTAACTTCAGTTCCAGGGGATCTGATGCCCTCTTCTGGTGTGGGCACTGCACAGCATGAGTGTACTTTATGTACAAGTAGGCAAAACACCCACATACATTAAAAATATAAATAAAAATTTTAAATATATATTATCAGTAAGGCTTCCTAATTTAAAACATGTACAATTTTAACAATGTACCTCTTATTAAAACAACAAATGACAACGATAACCTCTCACAGATGAACAAAGCATTTTCCATCCATCTCCTGACTCCTGCACATTGCTCAGCAGTCCCTCCAGACTGGCTTCCTGCTCACAGGGCAGGCTCAGGACCCAGAGGCACAGTCACATTTCATTTCAGTCCCAATGTGATTAGAGACCCTCCTCCCAGATCACTCATGTGCACTATGCTTCGCAGACTTGGCAGAAACCTTCACCTCACCTGGAACTCCCCCTTCCTGGGATTCACAAGGTTACCAGGCTCTAGTGGCAACACCTGAGCTCCAGCCCACTGGGGCCATTCCATGCCATTGTGTCATCCGACGTCCTGCCTCTCAATCCTGTTCTCTCCAAGTCTACCACTACTCCATGGCCTGACTTTCTTCGCGGCACTTTTATATTCCCATGGGATGTTCTTTCAGCTACCCCTGTGCCACACATGTGGGCCAGATCTACTCACCCACATGCTTCCCCCACTGCTTTATAACTGGCGTGCAGCAGCAGCAGCCCCAGTCCTGCAGCAGCCTACTCCAGAGGCCACCCCCCTAAAACCCCATGCATCCTGCCCAGTACCTTCTTAAAGCCCGGAATGGCTGTGCTGACTCCTCCTTGGGCTCCCTCTTCCTCCTAAGCCATTTCTCTACCAGACATCTTTGTCTCAACATCTACTCACAATCACACAGAACAACAACAACAAAAACGCTGAAGCTACCCAATCAGAAGGATTTGGTTCCTATCCCTCAATGCCTCTACTTCTGTATCCTCCCCTTAGTGAGCAAGACAGTTCAGGGAAGGACCCAGGGCAATCCTTCAGCCTCTGCAGCAGATCTGAACACCCATCTGTCTTCCTCAGGGCAGTGCGCTGCCCATTTGACTCCACAGGGAAAGGGGGAACTTGCTGAGAGAACATGGGACAGTCCTCACCTTTACTTCCTTATCTGCTGCAGCACCTGGTGCAAGTCACTGATGCCGCTGACCTGCCTCCAAAACATCAGTACTAACCTCAGAGCTGCTAAACAACTAGATTCCTCCCAGTTGGGCCATTTCCCTTCACTCTGCCAGCCGCAGTCCTGCCTTTTCCTAGACTACTTCCACCTGTCTGCTGGGGCCCCTCCCCTCTTCCCAGCTAGTTTTTCTTCCATCCTCTCCTTTGATGTTGCTAAGGAGAGCAGCTACTTGAGCCGCTTATCTCCTCTTGTTTTCCACATGCTTTTTGGGCAAAGCCAGCCCTCAGAACTGGGACACCTTGCCAGCTGACTGGTCTTAGTATGGTCTTACTGGTCTAAACTTCTTATGCATGTGAGGGTTGCTCAGGTACTTCACACACACCCCAAATTAACCCATAAATTATGCACTAAAAGCTGCCTCTCCTCCGGAAGCCTCTATCACAGACCCGCCCTGGAGTCTAAGGGGGAAATCATTAGGACATCCAGGTCCCTGCTAGCCCTAGCCTTTTCTCAGTCTAAGGCACATCTCTCTGAGGGCTTTGCAGCTCCTGCCTGGGGTGTCCTGTTTACTTTCTTTCCCCCGCCCCCAAATACTTTGATTTGCAGCCTGAGTAGTCTTCCAAACTCTAAGGCTAAGGGTTTCCAATTCCCAATTTCTTAAATTCCTATTTTCTGCCCGTTAAGCACAATGGCAACTGACTTTCCTCTCAAACACAAAAGTTAACTGAACAAATGATTCAACAGGTGCCAAGCACCTGCCAAATCACAGTGAAAGCCAGAAAACCTGGCTCTCCCATAGTCTGCAGTCTAGTAGAGACCCTAGGAGGGTCTTAAAATTCAGTTTCTCTGCATGTGCTCCCTGGACCTAAGTGGGTATGGCAGAGCTCCAGGTGGAAGCATCACATGTACATGGAAGCAGAAGGACATGATGAGAAAACAGAATGGATCAGTTTGGGCCACATGTGGGAGAGAGAGTAAGATTCCACAATGAAAATAAATCAGCATAAATAAGCTAAGTCCGTGCTGTTGAATAGGTGGTAGGGTGAGAGACAGAGAACATAGGCTAGTAGGAAAGGAAGATTGAGAAAAATCAATTCGGCATCAATAAGTGACACTCAATGGAGTGCAGAGTCTTGTTGGGGTGGGGGAGGTGCTGGCAGACATCAACTGCACCAGTTCATGAGAAAGCTGCAGGATGTGAAACAGACAGGTAAGAGTGGTCAGCAATGGCTGACTGGGAATTAGCACAGAGGGCTGTGGCTGAGGAACTGGCAGGAGGGAACGGCAGACCTTTTGGAGGAACATGAAGATAAAAACAAGATGAGATTTGGTGGAAAAGAAGAGGCAGGGAAGAAGGTAGTCTTGATGACAGATGTCGAAGCTCTTTCACAATTTCAACCTGCATGATCTACAATGCACTGAGCTTCTTGAAGACCCTGAGGAGAAGGTACATCTATTAAGACTATACACCAGCAGGACAGATTCAGCAGCATCCTTTTAACACCTAGTCAGATGACAGCAACCCTTTTCTCAGTACATTCCCATACATTCGCAAACAATATAGTCTGTCCTCTACATGGCCATCTGACTTCCTTCTTTGCTGCTTTCTTTCTTGCCCCAGGTATCAGCCACCCTGGCATCCTTGCTGCCCCCAAGTGCCAACACACTGACCCCATCCATCACCTGGACTGCTCTTCCTACAAATCCCAAACAACTCATTCTTTGACTTTCTTTAGGTCTTCGCACAAATACCAATGGATCAAAGGTCTCTTCTGACCATCCCTTTCAAAAAGCCCACTCTCTAAACTGTGTAACCTTCAACACTTCTGATCCCCCAACTTGATGAAAGCCACCTGCTGAACCACCAGCCACCTTACTTGTGACTCTCTTCAAGAATTAATGTGAATTTTATGATAACAAGACTTGTCTGCTCACTGCTGTGTCTCAGAGCTTAGGAACAAGGGAGGTATTCGTTTGCAATCTAGTATGTGGCATGAATGCCCTGGGGGCTTAAGGAACATGGAGATGTTTAAGAAGAGTAGCTGGAGGAATCCAGGTGCTAATTCAGGGAAACCAAAGCCTTCGGACTAGAGGCAAATGCCACATTGAGGTATGTGCAGAGTAGCCTATCTGTAGCTACAGCACCATGCTGTAGGCCTGGCCTGTCACACTGGGAGAACGAGAGTGAAGGGCAGCATACCCATGCTTGAGGAGTACATGGCCACCTCCTGGACTTACAGACCTGTTCGTTTTTATCTGGCAGAGAAAGGCTCATCTTGACGTCTGATTTCATTCTCCGCAGTAGGTATGGGTTAATGGTGTCTCTTAAGACACATGCACACTTATAAGCAGTTTTAACCTTCAATAAAAGAAAACAAGGAGAAAATTAGTTTACAGAATACATTTGTTCTTTCCTTTCAATTGATTCCATTTGTTAAAAATAAAAGAACAACCAACTGGTACACAAATTCAACTTAGAAAAAGTCAACTAAGTTCTGTACGCTTCAGGGAACAGTCCCTTTCAAAGCAGTATCAGAGGAAAAGAACTACCTCATTAAGCTAAATGTACAACAGAAAAAAATCTGGGAATTTTGTGCCTTCTTTCCTCTTGTATATTTGTTTTAATGATTACTATATAGTTATACCCTAAAGTAGAGATTTATTTAGTTACTGACCATTCTCTAGGGAAAAACTGGTTCTGAACAAATCTCTATTTATAATCTTGCATTCTCCAAAAGCTACAAGGGAACTGAGACTGTGAGATTAGAGATCAAAAGCTAAGTGTGGGGGAAGCTACAGCAGTGGGAGCCACCAACTAATGGTGGAGATCAGACTTCAGGGAATAAGTTCAAGAGGGGCCCTACGATCCAAGAAATGAAAGGTCACTCTGCCTAAAATGGAGCATATGGCTCCATAATGAACATGGCCACATGAGAGGGTATTAACCGTACACAGAAAAACAAAGCCCCACAGCCCTGGAAACCACGCCCTCTGCAATTCACTTATGGGCAAGCAAAAACTCCAATTAATTATTGATAATTTTAAAAATTCTAAATAGGCTTAATAACTTAGTAAATTATTATTTCATGGAACAAGTCTAAAATTTAAATATAAGAAGCTTAGCTATGAAATGAATTTTTAAAAGAGCTTGAGTGTAATACACACAGAAAAGTTCAAGTTAAACACATTAGCATTAAACAAAGAAAACATTTTAAAAATCCTAAGTAGAGATAACACTAAAGGCCTTTAGGAAAAGCAATATGGAAACCTACCACTATAGAAGCTTCTTAAAGTATATACATGTACATTATAAAAAGAGAGTAAAAGGAGTTACCTTATAACAGGGGGACGTTGCCCCTATTAGACACCATAGTGGGCTAGCAAAGTAAAAGCCCAATGCCAAGAATAGACTCCTTTTGAAACTGTTGACTAGGGGTCCCACAGACCCTCAAACAATACTGGCCATTGCCCCTGCTCTTGGTTACCCACCAGAACTTCATGGTAAGACCCTATTGCCTAAGATACTATATATATAAGTTGCAAAACAAACAAGAAGAAATCAAGCTGGTGCTGACTTCAAAGCCTCATCTCTACTGGCTATTATTAACAGTGCTGGAAGATATATGCAAGTTATCTGAAGAGAAAATTAATCATCAACCTTTCCCAGCTGTGAATTCTGCAAGCTACAACAAATAACTGGTCTGGTAAGATATGCCCACTGGTACGATAGTGGCATAAATATTATGGGAGTAACCAATCACTTTCTAACTGGATCTAAGGTATGTGTCAGAGAATGGAGACCATACCTGACATTGATATCAGCCCTAGGAACCTGAGGCTAAACAGGTCATAGGACTTAGAGGAGAGTCTAATACTAATTTTCTGTTAAAGAGATACAGTATTAAACTGACTCCTAATGACTTATCATTATACCCATAGATTAATGCATCTCTCAGCTCACAGCTGAGAAGCTTCCTCATGCAGCAGATGGCGATTAACACAAAGAACCACAACTGAACAATCAGAGAATAAGAGACCAAAAAGTGCCTATCCCTCAACTGGACACTGAAACTTCTACCTCCTAAGGCTCAGGAATCACTGTGGAAGAGGGGGCTGAAAGATTGTAGAGTCAGAGGAGGTGGATGACCACAACGAAACTGAGTTTCCCAGACAACTAGGAAATTACTCCATATGAACTCACAGAAGTGCCAACAACACAAACAAGTCCCATGTAAGATCAAGCCAGATAAGATCCCAGGACAGACGTGGGGAAGTGGGTAGAAAATCCCAACCCCACCTGAGGAACTACTAGCAACCAATGACTGCTGGGAGAGGGAAGAGTCACATCTCTTTTAAGAGTATGACGCTTGGTAGATTAACTAGACTACAGGGGCTGGACCCAAAACCTGAAGGGCATATGGAGACACAAATCTGACTCTACAGGCCTTCATATATATACATACGTACACACACACACACACACACACACACACACACATACACACACATACACACACACGAATACATGAAATTGGGCAGGGAGTAGTAAGGAAGGGTGTAGAAAGAGAGGGGATCTAATATAAAAATATATGAAATGCACAAAAATTCAATAAAAAAGGGGAAAAAAGCTTGAGTATAATACACACAGGAAAGTTCAAGTTAAACACATTAGTGTGTTACAAAAGAAAACACTTTAAGAGAGAGGCCCTAAGCACTCCTCTTTCATGTCTGCATCCATATATGTATACTATGTGCATGCAGGTATTGCATGAACAGACATGTATAATTATAAAGCACTGTCTGCTCAGGTTCTTTTTAATCCTGAAGCCCAGGCTGAGCTCCCGGAGGAGCAGTCCCTCTGGGGGCTGCTGGTACCCTGCCTTCACCCTCCTCAGCCTTGATGAGCTATCTTTCCTCCAAGAGTCCTTTCCTGAGTCCCAGAATTTGGTGTGTTTATCTCCCCTGGTCACAGTTTTCCACTACCTTATTCTGACATGTCCTTTTACCACATTACTCTTGCTGACCCACTGGACTTCTAGGGAGGTTTCTGGTTTCCAGCCTCCTCCCATCACAGTGGAACCAGCCTGACACAATAATTATCTGTGGGCAGACTATCTTCATAGGATTCAATAGCATGTGACAACAATGATCTTAAACAAAAAATAGCAAACAAAAACAACATCCCTCTCATAAAACCTTATCACCTAGAAATGGAGAAAAGATAAGCAGTTTTGCTTTCTGTGGTTCCTGTTACCTCAGATCAATTGCTGCCCAAAAATATTAAATGGAAAATTACAGAAATAAACAATTGACAAGTTTTAAACTGTATGCTATTTCAAGTAGTACCATAAAAATCTTGCACTATTCTACTGTGTTCCACCCAAGACACAAATCGTCCCTTTGCTCCGCATATCTCCACTGTATAGGATACCCACCCATTAGCCCAGCAGTGAGCTCAGTTATCAGACTGCCCTCCTGCATCACAGTGCAGAGGGACTGGCACTCTCTGTGATTTCAGGAATCCGTATGCCTTACAACGTATCTCCTACATACAAAGGCACTACTGTACACAAACTCCTGAGACAAGGATTTCAAGAAACATTACCTTTACATGTTCTCAAGGAACTGTTCCACAAATGTTTTGGTAATTCTCAAGGAGAAATATTAACTCCACGGTTCAGAAATTGGTCAAAACAACTTTACCAAGTAGTCCAAAAACAGCACAAACTGACAGATCTCACACCGAGAAAACAGGTCACATCCGTGACACTCCTGCCAAGACTGCACAGCTCAACTGCAACAATGAAGGGACGTGAGACAAACCCAAAGTGAGGTTACAATCCATAAAGTAACAGCTCTGTGGTTGTCAAAACTGTCAAGGTCATGACAGGCAAAGAGAGGGATAAAGAGACAGAAAATACAGGAAACAACTGGCAGGAAGTGAACAAAGACAAACTAGGAACAGAACGACAGCAACACTAAACTGCCTCCTGACTGGCGTCCTCGCTGTTGTCATGTGAGTGACTGCGCTTGTTTTTAGAAAACACACTGAAGGTGTGAGGAAGGAGCACCATGCCTGAACTTACTCAGCTGAATCATAAAAACACCAGTATTCGTCTGTATATTACTGGACAGCAAATGCACCAAATGATAGCAAAACGCCAAATTGGGGGGGAGGTTGCAGGAGAAGTTTTAACTTCAGCTTGAAATGAGTCTAAAATGGAAAGTTAAAGTGTGTGTATATGTGACCAAAAGTCACAGCAAGGATTCAGAGAAGGAAGAGAGCATTTGCAAATTAATTAACTGTTCCACTGCAAAAGATAAAGTCACTAAAAATGGTTTTTTTACAATTCTCTGATTTTTAGAAGTATAATAAAATATTTTTTGAATTAAATATCCTAAAACATAAGAGCATCTGTTTTTAGAGGACAGCTTTATTCCTGGCCCAGACAGGATCCAGGAGGTGAACCCCCATTTGAACAGGGCTGCACAGAGAACCCTGCTTCATCCCAAGGCTGAATGAAGCCTGCTCCCACAAGCCACATGCTGCCCCCTTAGAACCCCACCCCCAAGAGGTTCTGGTCTATGATAACCCAATTCTACCTGCAGCCTAGGCCAAAGCCTCAGAAGTCTGCTGCAGCAAGCCCCACCTGTTTATTCTACCAGCAGCTATGTCTTGCTTGTCCTGCCAATAAATGCCACCTGATCTCCAGTTCCTTACTGTGTTACTCTTAGACCATGACCCAAGTCCAGGTCCAGTTCCCCCTAGCAACAACCCCCCAAAAAAGAGTCCCTCTAAATCCTCCAGTGCCAGCCTCCTTTCCCCGTGACTACTTACAGCCCAAGAAACTCCCAAGAACTATCACTTCCTATTAGTCAAGTGGCTCAAATACCTTCCTGTTGTCCCTTAGCATCACTGACTCCATTTCAAGCCCCCAGTTCCAGCTTCTACGGCTTTTTGCCCTCAACTCGCATGAGTCACACAAAGGAAAAGCTGCTCAGCCGCAGTGCAGCTGTGCTCACAGAGCAGCCCTTAGCAGAATGCTTGCATTCTGTGTGTCCATTTTGTTTTTCCCAGAGCCAGGACTTTGCTAATTTCCAGTCCTCCCTGGTGTCTACTCTTTCGGCCCTCTTACTGTAAAACGCACTACCCAGTTTGCACTACATTACACGCTGTCCAGAACTGATTCGCCCTTTTTTCATGATTTCTGAATGCTCTTATGATCACTTGCAAAATTAATTTTTCATTTCTTATCTGAGAGAAACTTTCCAGGAACAACCAACACCAAACCCGTTTCATTTCTATTGTGAAGAAGTTTTAAATAGTGTTTTCTTCTAAGTAAATCATTCATAAGATTTTTTTTAAAACCTCATCTGTAAAACTACAATTTATCAAATAGAGGTAATTTTCTGAGTTTTATCAGATACCAATTTATAAGCCTGGCCACTTCCCTTACATTTTCAATGACTTGGCTACAAAGCATGTTTGGGGATGTTTTTCAATGTGAACACTGCAAAGGTGCCACTGTCAACCATATTACCTGCACTGGGGAAGCATTGGAGTAGCCCCCCATGGTGATGGGGACAGAGAACTGCTCCATAAACACAGGTAATGTGCCCAACTTTCCTGGAAAGACAAAATCAAAGAGCGACCACAGCTCTCGGAGGTTATTCTGCATCGGTGAGCCAGACAAGATGATCCGATGAGGTGTGCGGAACTATTTGGGGAAATAAGATAGCATTTTATGAAGTATTTTTAACAAATGACTGCCACCCAACCCAAAACACACCCAAGTAATAATTCTTTAACACATTTAATCATACTTTTGCTCTCTCATTAATTTGGTTCTCTCCAAATTGCAGATTTTTTTTTTTTTTGCAATCTTCTAACTATGTATACCAATGAAAATACTGGGAGGAATTCTCTCTTATTGGTCAAGCTGAATATTACCTACTGGAGTCGGATGCGCTTATACTCAGACCCTTATAAGAGTCCTGAATAATGAAAATTCAAAAGGACAAACAAAGAATTTTCTGAATTAAGATAGGACTCAATAAATGTTAACAAAAGCAGATAGCCTATTCTCAACGAAATATCACCAGCCACCTGGAAATCCCCCTCACTGTCAGAGACTATACCTGTTTGCAGGAAAGGGTGACAGCAGCATTTGGGTTTCGAATTTTGTGCCCTTCATCTAAGATTACATAATGCCAGTCGTGTCTGCTAATGTCATCTTGCATCAGGCGAATGTAGGAGTAAGAAGTGATCAGAATCCCATGACAATGCACAATATCTCGAATCAGCTTCTCCTATAACCACAGTAAAGACACAAAGCTAGATTTCAATGAGAAATGAAAAAAAACGAGCATGACCCACAATGACATCCATTAATCATACAGCACACTAAAAACCACAACACTAACACACAGACGGCCTAATAACACGTATCAGCATGCTGCATATGGCTGATCTGTAAGGCAGTAAGCACACTGTAGTGGAGCTCTCAAAAAAGTTAAGTTATAAGTATAATCAATTACTCAGTTGCTATTTTTCTAAATCATCCTTTGTATCTGTTCTTGTTAACTTTTCAAAAACAAAGTGGACGGAAAGTGATTGTCTTAAAATAAAATCAAGAAAATGAAAGAAAATCCAAAGAAACAAGAAAGATGCACTGAATGGCAGGAGGTAAGGGTAAAAGATATAAAAATGACTTTAAAAAAAATGGAAAAAAGGCCTGGCATGGTGGCACACACCTTTTTTTTTTTTCAGATTTTTCAGTAAGTATTTTAATTATTTATTTAATAACCATATAATTAGAAGAAGCATTTCATTACAACAGCATTGACATATCCAATAACAATTTCCAGAGCTGAG